CTTCTTATTTATTGACTGTTTTTCACATAATTATTAATATATATTATATATTGCATTTATTTGTATATCACATGTATATTGTGAAAATATGCAGCGCAAAGAGAAAAGGTATATATAGGGATGCAGCGTGAATGTGTATCAGGTGTTCTTGAATAATTATGCAGTATGATCCTCTCAGGATGTTGTGGCACAGGTTCACTAGCACTTGACAATAAGGGCTCTTCTCTTTGATAACATCGATGGCATATTAGATAGCCAAAATAGTAAAATTAAAGGAAAAACAATCGCAAATAAAAACACACAACAGGTAATCCGAAACGAGAATGCACTTTCCGGTATAAACTACTCTTTGGAACGCACGAATGCCGCAGATTACTACGAATGCAAACTGCCTGCACCACAACCACAGAGTAACGAGTTTTATGCCGGCCCTTCACTTGACAACAATTTGTCCTTGTCATGCTTAATAAGGGTAGTTTTCCAAATAAAGCACTAGAGCGAATTATACGGCATAATGCTTATCGTTGAATGTTTCAACTACAGCAACGCTTCGCACAATCGAGCACTCTCAAAAGTACCTAATGTTTTCGTGTGATGCGTCCAATCTACCAACTCAGTGACAGAAAATTAACAAGTGTTTTTTCTTTAAGTTTTGTTGAAAATTATTTAAAGCTTTTGTTTCATTGTAGTTTTTTTTAAATAATCAAAGTTAATTCAAACTGTGTTAAAAAAATAAATATAAGTATGGATGAAGGTACAAACACTGACTTAGCGCACTCTGCTGGTGCATTTGAAAACTAATTCACGTTCCAATTAAGCATCAGCATAATTCAGCATTGTGCGCCACTGAGTCGCATTATGCTCTGTAATTGGAAAAAAATTAAAAACTACCAAGGAATGAAAAGGACAGTCTGGTACTTTTCCAATTACAGAGCTTGAGCAGATGCTGATCCTTAATTGGAACGTGAATTAGTTTTCAAATGCATGTGTTGAAAAAAAAAGTCAATGTTTGTACCTTAAAACACTTGTTAATTTTCTGTCACTGAGTTGGTAAGATTGCACGCATTATACGAAAACATTACTTTAGAGAGTGCTCGATTGTGCGAATCGTTGCTGTAGTTGAAACATTAAATGTTAAGCATTATGCCGCATAATGTGCTCTAGTGCTGTAATTGGAAAACTACCACTGATGTCATGTTTTAAAATAACAAATACAAATAGCCAAGCGAAGTGCCGCCATTAGGAAGAAATAGTGTTTTGTTTGCTGCGCTGTCATAGATTATACACATAAAATGGTATTTATTGTCTCAGATTATTTTTTAACTTTTTAATGTAGCTTACTTAACTGGAAGTGTCCGTCACAATCTAAATACTGATAATTATCGCAAAAAATATACTATGAATTATCATAAATGCCAAATTGGTGTTGGTTCTTAGGCCAGTTTTAACATTGTCCTTTAGCGACTCATTTATTTGACGTACTTTTACAAGTGGAATTCTGTTACATGCACGTGTTCTCTCCTTCCTAAAATGTTTTTAAAAGGGCGTGAAGAAGCACTTCTGCAAGCCGGTAAGGTGAGGAATGTTGGTGTGGTAGTTCATAGCTGCTCTATCAGCTATCTTCGTCTCTGGACTTTACCACCATTTAAAATCAGGTGGAGTGGAGTCATTTGTCTACTAGCTATAAAAAAACTGTTGAAGAAATAATGAAATATTTTTTAAACTACGTAGATGAATAAGACAACAAGAAGAAGAAAATATAAATGGCAAAAATAAAAATCAAACTCAAAAATATTTATGACAAAAAGTGTAAACGTGGGTGCCTTCTTGGTGGATTTCAGCCCGTTTTTCTCTCTACAGAATAGGAAATGTCTGTATTTCAGCAGTTACGTCATTAAGAGCTCGAAGGTAATGAATACAATCTCTGGCACGGGATAGGGAGCAAAATCTCGGGACCTTCCTCTATTTCTCAACAGCTTGGTTGCTCTACTAAGGACGTTGAGTATCTACGGTCATTTGCAAAAGTTTATATAAAGGGAGAGGGAGAGAGAGTTAGTAAAAGACGGTAAAAGTAATATTTAGGTACGTACATATTACTTATTTACACTTATCATATATTGTGGCCTACAGCCTTACTACTTTAGAAGATGCTTAATATTTAGCGGCCTTGTTTTTATATTTGTTATGACTTTTTGTAGCTTTTGATTATTGTTTTATTCACAGAGTGATAACTTATGCTTTGTGTTTATTATTGTGAGGCGTAATTCATAGAGAAAGTAATTACTATTGTCACCGTGATTTTTTCTCATTGATGTTTAATGATCAAATAACAAATCCACGCGGTACAGGCAAAAGTCGGGACTCGAACCCTCCGCTATCCGGGGGGATGCACTCTCCAATTATGCTACTGTATTATAATAGTGTTATCTTATTTAAGATGAATAATTCTTCTTCGAATCAAGCTGCCCCTTTTTTTGCACACAAGATTCACTTTTCCTATATAACTTAAAAATAAAATATTTAACAATAATTAACCAACTAACGAATAATAGTTTTACAGTTTTACTACTCACGACGAATTAAAACAAAGTAGGTAATACTGTCGCTACAAATAAAATAAAATTGACCTAACAAAACAGTTTTTGTTGGCATTAAGGTTGCAGTAGCATAATTGGACAGTGCATCCCCCGGATAGCGGAGGGTGCGGGTTCGAGTCCCGACTGCTGCCTGTACCGCGTGGATTTGTTTATAGTAAAATTTTCCTTTTGTTTCAAAAGTCTAGCAGTTAAATGCTTAAAAAATATATAAGTAATTATTTGCTTTTGTTGCCAGTACGACACGTATCAATTAGCAATTGTTACATCAGTCAGACACATAGTTAGGTTGAACGCTCTGTCAGCTGTTAGTTTACAAGCGCACGGAATATGAATCCATCCCGGGAAGGGTACAGTTATCACTCAAGGCGCCGACGATAAATCATGGGCCGAGATGGGGCCCGGGCAAATTGGGGGCGGCTGACGGGCCAGCGCCGAACTCAACGCTGGAACAAACTGAAATAAATGATATTAAGAATTTTATTTATATAATTATGAGGAGCTCGATGGCGCAGGTGGACAGCGCGTTTGGCCTTCGATCGTGGAAGTTAGCAACTTTCGCACTGGTTAGTCATTGGATGGGTGACCAAAACCTTATTATCTAGAGCTCCTCCGTGCTTCGGAAGGCACGTTAAGTCGTTGGTCTCGGCTGCATCTGCAGTCATTCGCACCAACTAATACGCGTGGTGGACCATGGCCCAATCTCCCTATTCCATCCATAGGGAAGGTCTATGCCCCAGCAGTGGGGACATTAATAGGCTGGCGAAGATGATTCATTTCACTTTCACAAAAGCGTAAGCAGAGTCCAGTTGCGTTAGTAGCCGATGCTGAAAAAACGTGCCACTTCAACCATTCCTAAATTGCTGGTCGGCCTGAATATAATAATGGGAATAATTGCACTGCCTTTAAATAATATTTTTCGATAAAAGTTCAGCTGCAAGCTGTTTTTATGATATGAGATACTAAAGTCATCAGCTTATTAATATCCTCACTAAAATACAGATGAAATAAGAATATTCGACAATAACTAACAGACTAACCACGCGGTCTCGCTGCGGATTCGTGGGTGCTAACGATTACCGATGCAACGGTGATCAGTGGCTTATCGTGTCTTCTGAAATATAAAACAATTCAAAGTAGTTAATTTTTTCTCCTAAGGGCTATTACGAAAGTTGCTTAACTTCCAGGAATGCACATCGAACGATCTTAATACATCTGCTGCCATTTAGCGTTGTTCATTTTAGAAAACCCTCATTGAAGACGCCTCTTCAAATATAATTTATGATTCTATTCCAAGTACATCTCTGGCTTCTCCTTCTACGAGGTACGGATGGAATCTTAATTTTCACCAGATGTATAATAGTGCCAGCCTATTAGAAATGATTGGAAACTATACTAGTTGATTTGTAGTGCATTAGTAGATAATTACAATGGTAAATGGACTTCTGCTGGGCTGTAATCCAAAAGAAAGACATAAAATGCGCCAGCTGCCAAATTTCCTCTCCACAAATAAGCATTTCGAATCGACTGACAAGAAAGTTTTAACTCTTTTTTCAATAACGGGTTGGCCACTTTTCATGTCATTATACATTTTGCATATCACTTTCTCCTTATTGGTGAACGACTTGTTGATATTGAAAGAATATTGGATGTGAATTGTGGAATATTACGTACTTACGTTTAAAGCCGTCCGATCGCTGTGTCTTTCACACACTAATCTTCTTAGTTTAATTTACAGATGGACAAACATATTCTAAGTATAGACATAGAAGTATATAAGTATGGACTAAGAATCGTCACAACGAAAATTTCACCAATTATACGACGTCCACTGATGAGCATAGACCTCCCTCAAAGATCTCCACGTTGATCAGTACTGAGTTGGCTGCATCCAGCAGCTTCCAATGACCTTAAATAGTTTGTTGGTCCACCTGGAAAGTTTAAAACAATAAAAAGACAATAAGGTTATTTAAAATTATGCTTATTTATTTCCGAGATCCTACGTCCATTGTGTGTACAGTCAGTACGTCATATATCTCCTTGCGAGTATGGCCCTGCTGGTGAGCATGCTCCAAGTTTTCCGACACGCACGAGATACAGAGAGTTTCCACGCATCGGTGGAAGCAAATGTTCAAAAAAGTTTCATTTGCTCGTCTGAGGTATTATTGTTTAAGGAGATAGTAGTCAATGAAAACATATGCATGAAAATGATAACTCTTTAGGAAGAGAGAAAGCGATGGTGCAGCCCTTGTGCAACCGATACCATCTATAAGAACTGGCCACTTAATCGCTACGTTTCACTTTCTGTCAAGTTTTATTTTACAGTTGGTTAGGGAACGCTCAGTACACACTATATGTCTATGATTGCTACAAAAGTCTAAAACAATGAAAAGCCAATTGGTTAATAGAAACAGTGTTTATTTTAGAGATCCTACGTCCATTGTTTGTACAGTCAGTGTGTCATATATCTCCTGGCGAGTATGGCCCTGCTGATAGGTACGCGGCACTCCGTGAGCTGGTGCACGCGGTCGCTGCGTAGGTAGGCCGGCTCCTCTATCAACGTCTGCAGCGCGGCGCGCGCCATCTGTCTGTCGAACGGTGACTCCAGGCTCTCCGACACGCGCGAGATCCAGCGGGTTTCCACGCATCTGTGAAAGGAAATGTTCGAAACCGTTTAATATAGCTTCATGGAATTTCTTTTGCTCGTCTGTGGAATTTTTGTTTAGGGAGACAGTAGACATTAAAAATATACGCATGAAATTGATAACTCTCTAGGAAGAGAGAAATCGTTGGTGCAACCCAACCCTTATGCAACCGATACCATCTGTACGAATTTTATTTTACAGTTGGTTAGGGAATGCTCATTTCATGTGTAAGATGGCTACAAAAGTAAAAAAGACACTGGTTTCTGACTGACAACTGACTGGTTTTGTTTGGATCATTACCACCGTTCTCTTACTTTCCTAGTCATAAAAAATTGTTGAAAAAACAATTGAATGCCAAATAAACAAATAATCTTGAAACATTCGAGTGCAATTAAAGTTTCATTCATTGTTATTACGGAAGTTCATCACAGTCTTCCAATCATTGAGGTAAGGTTATAAAATGAAATTATAACATGCAAAGAGAAATACCAAAGTATTTTAGCACATTTATAGCATAAGTATCATCACAACTGCACAAGGTACTGCGGTTCGTTAGTCCCATTACTGGTGCAAGTGCAAGTCAATGGTGCATTTAGAATTTGGTTATGCACAGCAGGAACAAATGTTTAAATACTCACGCTGGGCAAGGTGTTGCCGGTACCAGTATGTCGATTGATGAAGGGCTCCAGTACTCCGGTAATTTGGGCTGGACCGTGTACTTTTTCAGTCTGGAAGTGCTGGATTTGGCTTTCTTCTGAATGCAATGTTCCTAGCATGATCGAAATTAGAATTGATTCTGATTAATAACAAGGCAAGTAGATAATGTATTGGTATCATATAATTAATAGATTTTTGTCCTAACAAAATTGTCTCTTAAAGGAGAAGTATACTTTCTGTAATCTGTCTTACAGGAGAAGTCTTACTTTATGTGTTACTTACATAGTAATAAACAGTCTCCACGTGCTCCTTGATTTTGTCTGCTATTATCTGGAGAGTTAGCTTGAACTGGTACAACGAGGGTTGTTTGTCCCCTAGCAGGTTCTGAAATGGCTCCAGTGAACAATCCAACATCCTGTAGATACAGTGTAGCATCATAATTTTATAAATAATTTTTAACTGATAATATTATATTTTATAGCGCCATCTATCGTCATTCACATAAATCATCGAAGATTGTAGGCCGCTTGAAAATAGCAAAAGTCATGCGCGCAACAAGAGTGACAGATGCGTTTGGAATGTATGATAGATGGAGTTGATGTATAATTTTTTTTCAAGAAATTACATGATCGGGTGTGACGTCATATTAATGTTCTGGAAGGAATTGCTAGAGGCGTGGCTTGCTTAACCAGTTTGTATATCATTTCGCTCCTTATAAGGAGATAGAATCGAAATCTTCTGCCAGTATACACGTGACAATTGCCACTATAAATAGCTGTGCGCAGCTGAATTAGGTCTCTTTTAGCTGATTGAACCCTGGTAGATCAAGGTAGTTGCACCGTGACCGTTGATAAGCAAGCTATAATCAGTGCTTTAATATAAACTTACACGAAAATCGTGTTAATTAGTTATCTCTCCCCGGATTAACGGGTAAGTTCCAGATATTTAATTCGATAGGATGTAGATCAATAAACAAAGATATCTGTAAGTAGTATTAAGTGTGTCAATGTATGTTGAAATTTCTTCTGAATATTGACAATATATAAAGATCTTGTTCACTGCTAAAAACAATTTTATTTCTCTCCCACAAATCACAGTACTTATACGGTGCCCTGGGTAGATAAATAGCAATTTTGAGTCTTATGCAAAACCCCTGAGTTGGCTGGTGATAGCGAAAATTGCTACAACAGATAATATCAGATTATATTCTTCTTTTTAAAGTGGGAAATACATGAATTGCAAGGAGGACATGTGAAAACTGCTCTTCGCTCACCCTGCTGAAGGGCTTGATAAAATTAGCAAGGCCCTTCCCTAATTCAAAAATACTCCTGAATCGATTACTCGACACACACTCCGAGGACTGAGTTTTAGAGGATGGGTTGAGAGAGCGGGTGCGGTCGTGGCAGCCCGCTCGGATTGGCCTTGCACACGCCCTTGAGAATTAGAATTTGTCCTATCTATATTAATAATTATCATCATCCTCATTGATATTCCTAATGCTGGGGCACAGGCCCCATGGATGGCATTGGGAGAATAGACCATAACCCACCACGCCCAGTGCGGAATGGAGGGTGCTAACGACTGCAGATATAGTGGGGTTTGTTCCGGCTGCATCATATTAACATACTTTTCGAAGCGCAGAGAATCTCGAAATAATAAGTTACGGTCACCCATTCAATGACCGGCCAATACGAAAGTTGTTATCTATCCTTAGTACCAAATAAGTTGCTCTCCGTGTTTCCAAAATTACCGACTCCTCATAAATCTTGCAATTAATTGTGATGCGCGGAAACGGAATTTTAAATAGGCACAATAGGTAATAATTATCTTTACTCGAGACCTTACCCCAACATCTACCTGCGGACCGGGGGCATCTACTACCCCAGGCCACATCGCAAACACAACGTTGAGTCGAACTGACTGAATGCATGATGAAGGAACATTGTTTGGTTTTTGGTGTGTAAGGCCTGAAGCTCGTCCCGAACGTCCATTAAGGCGGTCCCATGGACTAATAGACGGGGTGGGTGGGATTTGCGTGGAGGACGAGTAGTCTTGACGTTGTGACCACTTGTAGTGATTGTAGCCGGCTAGTGTGCGAGGTGCCTAAGTCTGTGAAGTGTCCCAATAAAGGAAATTCACCAAATTGTTTAATTACATTAGATTTAGACGGCGTTGAAGAAGAAAATTGTTCAATATTGTACCTACTAGCAACTTAGTCTCAGTAACACAACACCGTGTGAACTTATAAACAGGGAAAAGTGTATCGGTTTTTAAAGTTAAGGTTCTGTATCCTTGAAACTTGAAACGATTATTATAGTTAAGTGGCTCGTCTACAAAAACTAACCTGCCCTCGATTCACATCAGTGTGGACTAAAGTTTTTGCTCTCGAGCTTTTATTATACGTATGTAGATATAACAAAAGTTCGACGAAAGTAATGAACCTTCATCTGGCAACACTCTATCTATTGCTTAAAATCTGCAATAAAATCCTTTGCGTAGTTTAAAAGATATAAGTGTAAAGACAGTGGGAGCGACATTATTTTTAAGGCAGAAAGTAGTTCCGAAAATAAAACTTTTTAAGGAAAAATAACAAATAAAGAAGTTCTGTAAAGTACTTATTAGAAAACAATTAAGAAAAAAATAATTAGGCAGTAGCCATGTAATGATGATTGGCGTGTTTTGAGTGTTTTTATTTTTTGAAATTTTAGATTATAGGTTGCCTTCTATTTAGTGAAGTTTAGATTATAGGCTCATTTGCTCTGTCCTTTAAGTCAGCACGCGTTAGATTAAGTTGAACTAGTAATAAGTAGTGATTTGTGGTGATTTTGTTGGGTCGGATTTGGCCGCCATTGTATTCATAGAAAACTCGATAAAACCAGTGTGGATTCTTGAGTGTTGTGTTCAATGCCTTGTAAGGTGGCGGAGGCGATTATCTACTTACCTTATACCACCCCATCGCTTGTGTTCCCACCTTTCCCTTAAAGGTGTGCGACAGTCCACCCTATTTTTTCTTCGTCAGCCACCAGCGCCAGGGCAAAGGAATGCCCTCGGCTATCACGCCGTGCCGAAGTCTTAAGCCTTCCCCCCTTCTCGAAACTCGTCACGATTTTGAAGGATGACTGTCGGATGACCGACACCTGGATGCTACTCCGAAACAGACTGTAGGCCGTTCGGTGCTGACGAATGGCATCCGAAAGATGTGTTTTTATCCTAGATAAAATAAGAATCAAAAATCCCAAATGGTCGTGGTTTCTTATAGCCAGTGAGTGAACAGTGATCCCTAAAAGCGAAGTGGCAGTGTAGCCATTGATCATGGAACGTGCCGCGCACGCCGTTCGGCCAAACTCACTTATTATCTACACATCTATAGCCACATCTCCGAGCTGCTTGTGGAGTTTCAAACAACTGAGCAATGCTCATCTCTACAATACAACTTCTGAAATTGTGATCATATATTTTCATAAGATTGATTGTAGTGATAAAAAGGCAATGGTTGATTGAGTTATTGGTATCGTAGATCTGACAGTCTATACTCAAAGTGTGTGATACGACCGATTTTAGAAAATTGGAGCATTTGGAAGTGGCTTAGGAAGGTGAAAGCTGATTTAGTGTTTTTTTTAATATTATCTTGAAATTGTATTTAAAACTACCGGGAATCCATCATTTTATCGCAATTCCTTTCAACGATTTTCATTACCCATAAAACGAATCGCAGAACTTTTTTTTCAATATTTAACAAACCCTAGAATTAGGTTACGTCGCATTTTCGTTTCCTCGAATATTTATTGTCTACAAACAAAGTTCATCGTTATTTATTTTCATGTTTTATACATTTTATCGAAATAATGTTACATCGAAGTTTTGTTACCCATATTTTTGTTTCAATAATCAATGTATATCGAAAATACGATTTCATGATGTCTTTAGTAAAAAAAGGTATTTAAAATAACTCAGTTTACCCCGAATCCACGTAGTCTTATCTGCCCTACCCCTAGAGTGCAATTTAAAAGTGCGTAGGCGCGGAGGGACGAGGCGGGCTAAACTGGCCAGGGCCCAAGTGGTGATACTTTATACTAGGTCAGGTTAGGTTAGTGTTGTGACCATAACGCGCGAGCCGAGCGAACGAAGTGAGCGTGCCGCGGGAGAGGCCGGCGAAGCGGCAAAAAAATTTTGTTATGTGAAAAGTATGATGGGTTTCGATACATATTGTAACATGTTTTTACGAATAGTTTTATCGATAACTTAATACTTTTACGAAATGTAAGTTCGATATACCGTTTTTCTGGTAATCAAAACAACTTTAAAATATTTTTTTCAAGAAACGTTTTTACGATGATATAAAACAGCGATGATTTAACATTCGATGAATTGAAAAAAATATATATTAAAAATAGTGGAATAGTTCTCGGTAAAATGAAAATCGATGTCAAAAAAATCTATATTCTGATAGACACCCAAAACTACCATAATTACCTTAAATTATTCCTATACTATATACATGATTTAAAGTTTTGTTGCTTGATTGTATAGCATCAACCAATAGGGACAATATTTGTTTCTTAGATTTTCACGCACATCACTCATTAAATAAAACTAGTTTTTACGGGTTAATGCACGAAAACTTTATTTATTTATTGACGTTTCGTAGCCTTTACAGGCTACGTCGTCAGAATAAAACTTTTATTTAATTTGTCGAGCTACGTCAATAAATAAATAAAGGTTTCGTGCATTAACCCGTAAAAACTAGTTTTATTCAATAGGGACAATGTTTGGACTTCGGGCATATTCCGAGTGCGGAACAATTTTGGAGAGAACTTATTAAGAACCGTACTGTTGTGTTAATCTCTATTACTCTTTAATCTTTTATTTAATGTATGATGTGTTAATCACTGTTACTCTTTAATCTTTAATTTAATGTATTAAATTATCTCTTCTTTTTTAATCTCTTAATAATGTTAACGTCTGTCATTGACGTCTTTTATGCTTTATGTCAATGCAGTCTTTTATGCTGAATAAAGCCTAGTTTTCTCAATGATCTTTATTTATAACAATTTATTCAGCATAAAATGTGAAAAATAATTAAATAAAAGTGTCTACGCAAGAAAATAAAATGTCCCGCTATCTTCGACCGGATCGTTTTGACGTGGGACCTAATTCGACTGAGGCCGATTTGAAATGGTCGCACTGGCGATTTACTTTCGAAAATTTTCTTACTAAAGAATGCACTACCGAAACCAAGGATACCATGCAGCTAAACGTCCTGGTAAATCATTTATCTCCGACACTGTTCTCGTACATTCGAGGTGTCAAATCGTATGACATCGCTATGAAAACTTTAGAAGAGATCCATGTCAAACCTAAGAATGAAATTCTCTCAAGACATTTACAAGCAATCCGCATACAAAAACCTGAAGAATCTGTGAGTCAGTATTTCCAAGCACTAAATCTTTTGTCACATGAATGTAACTATACAGCAGTGTCGGCAGAAGAACACCGAAGTCAATCCATCCATGGCGCATTTATCGCAGGTATTGTCCTACAAAAGATCAAGAAAGACTTAGAAAAGTTGACCTTAAATTTAGATGAAGCTGTCAACTTGCCGATTTCTTTTGAGAGTGCTGAAGAGACTACTCCAAATACTAATGTCCAATAAAGCTTTATCTTTTAATGTTTCAACTGGGAATGAACTCGACCTTAACGCAACCACAAGTTCAAGAGTTCCGATGTTCTATGCACTTATTGATGCTGAGAGCTCGGTGAGTTTGATAGATAGAACGGCTTTTTGACACGTTGTTTGTTGAAGCTAGGTAGCTCAATCGCTTAAACTGAAAGTAAAGCCGTGTTAACAAACAATTTCGTTAGTATCACTAATTTATATATCTTTTGTGAAAGGACTTTGCCATATTATTGTGGGTCAGGATATACTGCAAACCCATTCAAAGTTAGCATTAAAATTCGGAGGAAGCCGGCAACCCTTACGGATTTGTAATGTGGTGGAAGTCTTTCTACCTTCTGTATTTCTTTTTAGTAATATTTCGAATGATATCAGACAATAGCAATACGCTCGCGCCGATATAGCAAAGATGGTGTAGAATTCATAAGATTAGTGAAATAAATTACTCGAAGATGGGGTTATTGAACAAAGTAAATCGTGTGATGTCAGCAATTATGCGCAGACCATTAATAGATTTACGGAACTCGATGCTTACCCGTTGCCTAATATCGAGTCCATAGTAGCTAAAGTAGCGAAATATACAGCTTTTGAAGCGAACGGTAAACTTTATCAATTTAGCCGTATCCCATTTGGTGTAACAAATGGGGTAGCTGCTTTTCTACGAGCTCTTAGCTTCGTGATCGAAACTGAGTGAAGTGAGGGGGCGGGCCTCCTCACCCCCCAGGTGTAGCCGCCGGGGTACCCAGCTCTCACGCGCGGGCCATCCTGCGCACGTCTACGGGGTCCCCGTTATACCTCGGGAGACCCCTGCCGTGGAGCTCAGGAGAGGCCGGGAAGCTGCTGGGCGGAGTCGCGGAAGAATGCCTAACCGGGCACCCCGCGCCTTCGCATAAAGTAGTGTAAAAAGTATTCGCAGGACTTTTTTAGCGGATATTATGCCGTAAAGCGCCCATAAGAGTTGCGGGGTCCTCGGTGGTCAGCCACTGGGGGGTCCGTAAGATTTGCGGTACCCAGGTGTGAGGTCCGTTCGGCGGTGTGCCTCTTAAAGGTGCCGTCGTCTGTAAAAAGATTGTTACCTGCGTTATAAAAAATAATGTAGCCGCCGGGACCCCACGCCTTGGTCACCAACTGTCACGACGGTCCACCCCGAGATAAAGCGTGAAACGATGGGGCAGCCTCGCGAACTGGTTAAGAACGTTCGAGCCACTGTGCTGTGCCACGGGTGGCCAGCGGAAAAGTCGTTTTTACGGGTCAGTGGGTCGTTGTCCGCCCGGCATCGGTTTGACGGATGTCTCCGCTGGACCGAATCCGTCGCGGCAATCCCCACACGAGCTCTGGTTGTACGCTGGCTGACCCCGAAACGCGCGTGAAGCACTTCACGGGTTTTATACCATGCGACGGTGGTAACAAACCAGGCGGGTGTTAGGTGCCCAAACCGCGGAAGAGCGGTTGAAAGCTCTGATATCCCTCAGTCGCTTCTTACGAAACCCGCGGAAGGTGAAGGGGCGGTGAGTGATATTTTTCTCCGTCACCACACGGATAAAAATGAGTCCTGTGGATCAATGTCAAAGTTTGAATGTAAAAGCAGAAAGCTTCCGTTTATTTTTGGGATCAAACAGAATCCAACTATAACATAGGTTCGTAGAGCAAATTTTCGCTTGTTTCAAAAATGCTCCAATAAAATTAATATTAAAAAGAAAAAAAAAATATTGAACACATTAAAATGAAAATGTTGTTTTTAGGTGTTTATGGCATGCCGAGACATGGAGAAGTGTGAGAGCAGCCGACGTGAGATTGTGTTGGAGACGAATAACAAATACGTTTACTGCCGCCACTGCGACCGGGCTAGCACCTTCCACCGTACCACACTAGTTCGTGGAGACGTCAGTATCCCTATTATTATATTCTAAGTCCATGATTATATACGAGTATACTATCATTAGCGTTCTTAAATCTTAAAGTCTTGTTTAGCAGTGGAGGCCTTAGAGAATGGCGAACCGCCCTTGCATAAAAAACCCAAAATAAAACAAACAGCGTGTGCGTCTCGGGACGCACGAGAGAAGTGATAACTTAAACTAAACTAATCTGCCTACCGTCGCCGTATGTGTGAGAGAAAGGGAAGCCAGATAGACTGGGCCATAACGCGTTACGCAACGAAGCGGTTTACACTCCCATAAGAAGTTATCACTTTAAAAATTAATGGTTACCATCAGATGGTTACCATCAATTACTTTGATTTTAACGATTTTTACGACATTTTATTCGCTTAATACGCCCCAGTATCGGAGTCGATAAATTTGTATATGCAGCTGAGCTTAATTCAAAGTTTGAACGCAAATTATAGCGCATTTTACTACCAAAGGCACTCGAATTTTAAAGAAACAAGATTTAAAAATATCGTCGATTTCATAGTTACAATCAATACAGTATACATCAGCTTCGTATTGAACGCATTCAGAAACGCTTTACTAGACATCTCGCATTCAGTAGTAGGCTGAATACAAAATCTACCAACTACAGCCAAATACTTCAGTATTTTGATATGGACGGTCTTCTCACTAGGAGAAATATTTTGTATATCACATTTTTATTTAAAGTTGTGAGAAATGTAGTTGATTGCCCACAATTTCTCAGAAAGATAAATATTAGAGTTCCCTGTAAACACCTACGCTATCCTGTACCAATATTCAGCAAACCAATCGCTCTCACAAACATACTAACACACTGTGCATCATATCGCTTGCCCAACGCTTACAACAAACTGAGTGAGAGTGTTGATATCTTCCACGACTCTTTTCTACGATCAAGGACTAAAGTTTCTAAGATTATTAAGAGATGCGCAGGCAAATTCTATTTTTATTTTTGTCGTTAAATTTGTCATATCGAATAATTATATATATTCGTTTTCTATTGTGTATAGTTTCAAAGGCGTCACTAATAGTTCATAAATTTCATTATTTACAGGGTGTTACAAAATTACAAATAAAGCTTGAGGGGCGTTGAAGTACATCAAATAAGGAGTCTTCTCTAATTTTCTTAAAATATTTGCATGAAGTTTTAACTTTAAAAACAGTTATTTTTAATGATTAATAAAAACATCGATCATTTTAAGACACGTCAAAACCTATATACTCTCCAAAATGCTTACGATAAATGGACAAAAATGAAAATTTAATACTAATATTATTAATCTTTGGACACAATGTGCAAAATAATGTCATCAAACCTGATCGTCTAAAATCATTGATGGATCTCCCCCTTCCAGAAAATACCTCAGAATTAAAAAGAGCACTAGCTCTCTTTGCTCATTACTCAAGTTGGAAACCAAAATTTTCTGACAAAATTAAACCATTATTAGAAATTTATAAGTTCCCTCTTACTAGTGTGTCCTTTTCTTCTTTCGAAAGTCAGAAAAAGGATGTTCTCAAAGCGTGTCTAGCGGCAATAGATGATAACGCAACCTTCTCGGTCGAGACGGATGCCTCAGAATATGTTATTGCTGCAACACTGTGTCAAAATGGTCAACCTGTAGCTTTTCTCGCTCATTTAACGCATTTTGAGAAACGACACTCATATATATAAAAAGAAACTGCTGCGTTTGTAGAATCATTGCGTAAATGGTGCCACTAGCTTATTGGACACCTATTTAATTTAATCACGGATCAACAGTCCGTTTCATTTATGTTCGATGAATGATACTTTAGTAAAATCTAGAATGAGAAGATAGAACTTTGACGTCTGGAACTGTTCTGTTTTAAATACGATATAATTTATAGAGCAGGAAAAGAAAATAAAGCAGCAGATGCTTTGTATAGAGTCTGTGCGCTAATAAGTAACAATAATGATTCTTTGAAAGCCTTACATGTTAGACTCTGCCATCCTGGAATAACCAGAATGGTACACTAGGTGCGTTCAAAAAACCTTCCTTATTCGATTAATGATGTTAGACAAATAATTGAGTACTGTCACATATGCGCTGAAATTAAAACCAGACATGCACGCAGTGGAGGAAATTTAATCAAGGCTACAGCACCTTTCGAACACTCAATATAGATTTCAAGGAGTTGTTACCTTCAAAAACACTAAATAAGTATATATTGACCATCGTCGATGAATACAGCAGATTTCCTTTTGCGTTTCCTTGTAAAAATGTTACCACCAGCACCGTCATAAAGTGCCTTCATGAAATTTTTTGCCTTTCTGGCCCGCTTATGTATATACGTAGGCCACGACATAAGTTTTGTCGTATGCGAAATAAATGTAAGATATTGTTTAGTTGAGGGTAATTTATAAAGGCAAACTTATATCAACAATATACAAGTTTCGTAATGTAAAATAGCTTTGTACATTTATTCCGATTTTTTGAAGATTAAATATGACTGAATTTACTCGTCGCGATATTCGTGTAATAATGTTATATGATTTCAAGCGTGGCTTGACTAAGTAAAAGTGTTTTGAAGAAATGAGTGGTGCATTAGGACAAACGTGTCCATTCTTAAGGACTATAGAAAGATGGTAATTTCAGTTAAATCGCGGCAATTTTAGCTTGGAGGACGATTCGAGGCTAGTTAGGCCAATAGAGGCAACTACGATAGAAACATAAAGGCAGTGCGAAAACTACTGGTAGAAGACCGGCAGGTGACATATCGACAGATCGAGGAAACCCCGAATTTAAATGCAGCAAATGTTCATCGAATTCTTCACGACCATCTAAAAGTTAGGAAACTGTTCACTTTGGGTACCACATTCGATGACTGATGAGTTAAGGGAACAGCGTGTTAATTGGTGTCATGAGATGTTACAAAAAATTGTTGGCGGCAAATCTAAGTACGTCAATTCAATCATTACATGTGATGAAACTTGGCTTTACTATTTTGATCTCCCAACTAAATCCCAAAGCACAGTATGGGTGTTTCAAGATAAAGATATGCCAACATCTGTCAAAATGTCTCTATCTGTTAAAAAAAGAATGGTGGCTGTATTTTTCTCAAAACGCGGCATATTCATACTCAAAGGGTAAAAACTTAAGCCTATGGCTGACATTCTATCGTCTGTCTGTCCGTATGCCACGGGTTTATAGATCGTAAACGGAATGAGTTACAGAACAAAGCCGAATTTTTAGTTCAAAATTCAATTTCATTATTTTAAATGGAGGTTCTCATACACGCGATACGTCACGGTCTAGGACTCGGTGAGGAGGATATGAAAATTATTACGTACTTGACAGTTCAAGTCTACTATCCCTGCTTGGAGCCAAGCACCCTTGGAAAAGGGTAGCCGTGAAAGTTGTCATTTATAAACAAATTTTGCTACGGGATCTATCTTAAAATCGGAACAAGTTAAGAATGTGCAAGTTTGGTTTGTGCCATATATGCACATCACATAGCAAAACTTCAAAATCTGTATTTAAACAACAAATACTGGAAAGACCGATTTACTTATTACTAGAGGTCGCCCGCGACTTGGTCTGCGTTAACTTAGTTTCTTGAAAATCCCTCTGGACTCAACATTTTTTCGGGATAAAAGTGGCCTATGTGTTAATCTAGGGTGTCAGCTAACTCCATACCAAATTTTATTAAAATCGCTTTAGCGTTTAGACGTGAAGAAGTAACAAACATACACACTCACATACTCACACACTCACAAACTTTCGCCTTTATAATATTAGTGTGATTACTGTAACTTATAACGTACTTTGTAAGTTGTGATAAAAACAAACAAATGAATTTTCCTTTCGCGGTTTATTATTAGTCCAGTCAATGAAGGCTTAACTTTACCATTTTGAGTTGATCACCTGCAACCAACGCGAAAATTTCCGCAAGAGTTCGTAGATTAATATACTAAAATTGCAGGGTGCTGCAATGGCGGCAAAGGGTGAAAAAAAAAATGCGAAATGGTGCAAAAACGAGTTTTTCGTCAATATCTCGCGACTGGCTGGAAAAATAGAAAAAGTTTGTAGAACAAAGTTGTAGAAAATTTAATTTCCTACAAAAAAGGTATCAACTTATTTTCGCGTATCTCCCATAGTTTTTACACAAAATGCAATTAAAGGTGCAAAATAAAAAAAGAAAAAATATTATAGTTATAATTTTTATTATTTTTAAAGCATGTAACTGCTTGATGTTTAAATCTAAAGAAAATATAACTAGAAAAAATTCCACGCGGACCAGGCAGCAGACGGGACTCGAACCCGCACCCTTCGCAATCCGGGCGAATGCACTGACCAATTATGCTTTAGATTTAAACATCAAGCAGTTACATGCTTTAAAAATAATAAAAATTATAACTATAATTGCTATTTCTTCTTTCAAATGTTTAATACTTGTAAAAGTATTCATTTGACATTGTGGGTTTACCTATAATGCGAAGAGATGGCGCTGCCTTCCAGCTTAAGAATAGCTAGAAGGAATTTCGACGCGGTCCGTGAGGGCCGCGGTAGCATAATTGGTCAGTGCATTCGCCCGGATTGCGAAGGGTGCGGGTTCGAGTCCCGTCTGCTGCCTGGTCCGCGTGGAATTTTTTCTAGTTATATTTTCTTTAAAAAATATTATGTTTTTTTTTCCATTTTTAAACGATCCTACGGGGCAAATTCAACAATCACCAATTACTGAAATATTTAAGGATGAGTTTTCGGCAGTCCACTGAAATGAAAATTGTCTACCGAAATGATAAAAAATTACCACCGAAATGATACAGCCAAGAACATCGCCTTTGTAGTAGAAGGGTTCCCTATTTTGAATTTAAATAAATATCTTTATTCTTTGTAAATATTTTTGTTCATTATTTTTTAATAAGAATTATTAATGAAGAATTAATTAATTGTTACTCCTATTAAATATTATTACTAATTATAATTATTAATATGTACATTTTCAAAATAACAAGCAAAGCGCGTTTAGAAAGCGAGAAGTTTATTATTAGTAAATCGTC